AATGTGACTCTTTGTTGAAAATAGAGTCCTTGTACAGATAATCAGGTTACCTCTAAATAGGGTCACTAGAGTGGGCACTAAATCAATATAACAGGAGTCTTTATGATAAGGGAAGATTTGGACACAGAGATGGATTCTCATGTATGAAGACTTGGAGAAGAAATTCCTGCAGATGGCATTTAGCCTAGAGGCATCGACCAGTGAAGATACCTGTGTCTCACATCTCAGTAGCTGGGTTCAATTCCCAGCTCCATCTTCCGTGTACAGCTTCTTGCTAATGCAGACCTTGAGAGAACACAGCAGTGATGGCTAACTAATTGGGTCTCACACCCACATGGGAGACAAGGACTGAGTTCCCAGTTGCTAGCTTCCAGCTGGCCTAACTCCAGCTGTTGCAAGCATCTGGGGAGTGAAGCAAGAGATGGGAGTGCTGGTGTTCTCTCTCGCCCCAGCCACACTCCCTTCTCCAGCGTCTTTTCTGACACCATTCCACCCACAGACTTTCAAACACATATCCTAGAAGCATCATGCTGCCAGTGACCACAAAAGCAGAATGACCAGGAAGAAATTGGATGGCAAGATCCAAGAGCAAATTGGCTAATATACTTATTAAATATTAAATTTAAACAATAGCATATCAAATATAAACTTACTTGCAAAGTGTTTATAATTATGCATATAAATTGTCTAAGAAGACATCAAAGTGACAAAATAGTTACATTAAAGTGGTGGAATTAGGGGCCTCACATGATGGTTCAATGGCTAAATCCTCACACTGCAAGCATCAGGATCCCATATGGACACTGAGTCACATCCCAGCTGCTCCACTTCCCATCCAGCTCCCTGCCTGTGGCCTGGAAAAGTCGTAGAGGATGGCCCAAAGCCTTAGCACCCTGCACCCGTGTGGGAGACCTGGGGGAGGCTCCTGGCTCTGGGCTTTGTAGCAGCTCAGCTCTGGCTGTTGTGGTCATTTGGGAAGAGAACCAACAGAAGAAAGATCTTTCTTTTATTCTTTCTGTAAATTTGATCTGTTTTTCCAATAAAGATAAGTAAGTCATTAAAAAAAAGTGGTGGAATTGTGGATACGTTTTTCTATTTTTCTACATCATAAATTTTATTTGTGTGATTACGTTGGATAAACATCTTCTTTTAGAAAACTTTGAGATTTAGAAAAAAAAAACTTCAGAAGAAGTCAGAGTTTCCACATACCCTATATTTATCTTACATTTGAATGATGCTTTTGTCACGACTAAATGAGCCATTCAACTAAGATGATTGCTAAAAGAAACTGCTTTTGTCAACCCAAAAACAACAAAAAGGAAAATCTTATTCTATGTATTTCTTAAAAAAAGATTTATTTTATTTTTATTCGAAAGGCAGATATACAGAGAGGAGAGACAGAGAGGAAGAGCTTCCATTTGTTGATTCATTCCCCATGCAGCTGTAATGGCCAGAGTTGCGCCAATCTGAAGCCAGGAACACTGAACCTGTTCTGGGTCTCCCACACAGGTGCAAGGTCCCAAAGCCTTGGGCCATTCTTGACTTTCCCAAGCCACAAGAAGGGAGCTGGATAGGAAGCAGGGCTGCCAGGATTGCACCCACGTGGGATCCCAGCATGTGCAAGGTGAGGACTTTAGCCACTAGACTACCGCACTGGACCTTTTCTATGTTTTTCTAACTCCAATTGACATCCTAATATTTGGCATTTCCCATATTTTTAGTATTACTTCAGATTCTTTTGGGAATGGATTCTTGGCTACAAAGTGGAATAAATTTTGCTTTCTCCTGATTTGCCATATGCTTGTTTACGTAATTAAAGTAGTTAAAGCCGCACTCCTTGACAACAGTCATGGGAAATGGCCTCTTAATGTAAGCATCATGGAAAACCGTTTAAACATATGAACCATGCCCACATGCTAGAAACTAATTTTGTGTGCACTGCTTTGTCAATGGATTTGTAAGTGCTCCCTGGAGCCTCCTCTTCCTCATCCCATCCCACTTTTTTTTTTTTTTTTGTCTAATACCCAGTCCAAAACTGGTCACTCAGCATATATTCATTTAACATTGCTTACAGCAAATTGTAGGATTAGGTATAGCTCTAGAAGAGGGAGTATTTATCTTAAATGACTGATAAAGTAGAGAATCTTCTATAAAATTTTGCCTGAGCCACACTTTCATTTCTGACACTAGGATGCCACAACCTTCCTCCTGTGCGTGAGTCAAAAAAAAAGCAGCTGCTGAAATTCAGCTGTGGGTATGAAATTTAGTTTTGAAATGGCAAAAGTCACTAAAAAACTAAAATATTTCAAATAATATATTTCCAACTTTCTTTTAATGTCAACTGAAGAAACTAGTGTAAGGTTTTGTGGGTTCTTTTTCTTCTCACTTTCTTAAATAGACCATCCCTAACGAGTTTTCTTTGTTCTAGGTGCCAAGTTGGTCTCAAAGAATCCTTCTGAGTATCTAGCAGTTAGAACAAATCCGATAGAGTGTACCAATAAATAATCAACTGAGGTTGCTGGCTTACAGACCTGCATTTTACAGAAATATAAGATGTTCTGTTTTAAAATAGAACTTTAAAAATCTCAGTAAGTCTCCTTTTTGTAACTGATAAATCTAATTCCATTTTTTCAGGAAGTCTTTACTATAATACTTAAATTGAGAAAAATGCTGAACATTGTCCTAACATACATTTTATCCCTAATACTTTTTGCCTGTTTGTTCAGCCTTTATTCCTTCATTTATTTTGAATTAATCAATTTATTTATTTTTATGATGCAGTTCCAAAGGCTCAGGGATTTCCCTTCCCCAAATCAATAATTTTCCCTATTTTATTACATAAAATACATTTTGTTACAATAACATAGTCCTTCACAAATCAATCATAAATCCATCATTCTGCTATTTAGGTATATCTTGATATTGTAGGTATGGACAATGGCAAAGTCCAGCATCCTATTGTCAAGATACATTTAATAGTTTCATTAGGAGTCCATTTTTGATCTGCAAGTAGAGATGCAGACTACATCTCATACGATAGTCTCTATTACACAGTTCCTCTAGATGACTATATGCACCTGCATATTTACCTATACATCAACTGATTTTGTATTTTGCATGAAGGTTGCCCTATATCAGAGAGAACATACGATATTTGTCCTTTTGAGATTGAGTGATTTCACTGAGCTTAATGGTGTCTAGTTGGGACTATTTTGTTGCAAATGGTATAATTTCATTCTTTTTAATGGCTGAGTAGTATTCCATGGAGCAGAGTTACCACAGCTTCTTCATTCACTCCTCTTTTGACAGGTATCTGGGTTGTTCCTATGTCTTTGCTATTGTAGATTGTGCTGCTGTAACTACTGGATTACAGCTCTGTTTCTCATATGGAGTGTTCATTTTCTTTGGATATACTCCCAGAAGTAGGATAGCTGGGTCATACGGTAGGTCAATTTTCAGTTCTCTTAGCACTCTCCATAGTGACTTTCTGCACCACATGGCAGACCCAGAGGAAAAAGGGTCTCAAGGCTTTGAGCCATCTTCTGCTGCTTTCCAGGCCATAAGTAGGAAGCTGAATTGGAGGTCAAGCATCCAGAACATGTACCAGAAACCGTATGGGATCACAGAGCTTGCAAAAAGAGGATTGGTCAAGTGAGCCACTGTGCCAGGCTTATGGAGTAAAACTTTGTTAAAGATGTTAAGGATTCCAAGAAAAGAGAAGTTTATTGGGACAAGCATCATTGTGGCATATCAGATGAAGCCTTGGCCTGAAGTGCTGACAATCCAGCTCCCTGCTAATGACCCTGCGAAAACAGCAGAAGATGGTCTAAGGCCTTGGACTCCTGCCATCCACATGAAACCCGGGAGAAGTTCCTCGCTTCTGGCTTTGGACTGGCCCAGCCCCAGCCTCTATGGCCATTTGGAGAGTGAACCAGTGCATGGAAACTCTCTCTCTACCCATCTACTCTTTCTCAAATAGACAAATAAACAAAAGTTTATACTTTCAGTTCATTAAAATATTTCCATTTAGTCATTGCAGAAGTCAACAATGATGAGGTTCACAGAATATCTGATATTCAAAATCATGACTGAACATCTGTTCCACCCCCACCCAAACAAAATCACCGTTGACATTTTCAAGAGAGGTATGCCTTACCATAACTAGCTATTTCATCAACCATGTCTAACTGCTTTATTATTAAAGGTTGACTACAGACCGATGTTTTCAAAATAAGACTAAACAAAACTTGTTAAAAACTAATTTGAGATGGTGGCAGGAACAGGTACCAACCAGCCAAAATTGAGACAACACTTGCTTTTCCTGAGTTGGTTAAAGCTTGACAAACAGTTGAGCAGATGCAATGTAGTGCACAGTGTTGCTAATGGGCTCTGAGAGAGTGAGCAGAAATGGACTGGACAATACAAGAAGTCATTGGAAGCACAGCGTGACCCGAAAAAAGATTCTGAAAGGATGGACATCAAAAGATGAACAGTGGAATAATAGGTTTGGTGGGGGTAGTTTTTTGCACAGTCTGATCTATAAAAATGGTAAAGCTTTTATAATAAAACACAACAAACATTTGGTTTTTGGGTAAAGGTAATAAAAACATTTAAAAGTTCAACTTGTGATATCTGAAAAAAGCAAAAGTTTTACAAACCACCAGAGAAACATGTATGGCCCAGTTCTGTTGCATTTTAAAACAAATTTTTCTCTACCCTGTTTCAGCATCAAAAAGGCCATAAATTACACAGGAGAGAATATGACCTTCTAACTAGCATTGATTTTTCTGGTCTTAGTCAACAAATGAATATGTCAAACAATGGAGTAGAGCTGTAACACTTTTTAGAAGGACTTAATTACAAAATTATTTTCAAATTTATTTTAATACCTAGAAATCCTGCATTTTCACTCTTTTAACCTGTATAAGATGATCTATAAATATTGTGTTGGTGGATTATCATGGGCCTAATACTCAACAAACAATTGGAATCATTCTTACCTGATGCTGCTCATCAGAGCTTGGCGGGCAGTTCAGAAGAACTGTATTACACTCCTCAGCTAGAGAATGAAAAGAAAACACACAAATTTGATAAAGAAAACACATCTTATGGAGTCAGACCTAAAATTTAGGCAGCCTGGACACCCAGTAAAATCTGGAGGGACTTGGACTGCCAAACCACTCTTTGGGAAGATAAAGTCCTCTAGCTGAGCCAAGTTTCTGATTCAGGAAAAAGCAAAATCCTGCTTAGCTTTGAGTGTAAGGTTTCAATTTCAAACCAACCAACCATATCCAGTTCTCATGTAAAGGGACCGAGGGACACCCAACCCTTTTGATTCTACAAAGTTTGCCTCCACAGCCCCTGGCTATTCACTCTGTTCCCAAGTTGTCTATGATCTTATACTGTGTGCACTGTCCTACACTGGGATGTGAATGTAGGTGACTCAAAAGCTGCTACTGATTTCTTCACTCCAGTGTAACTGGATGTCACATGTTTGACTGTTACCCTAAGATAATGGGATTCCTCCCTCAATCCCATTATATCTGGGTCTGGCATGCGGTATAGCATGTATTTAATGTAAGTACTGAATTCACTTTTAAGTCTATAAATTAGTTTCCTTATGAATCCATATGGTTTTTCTCCTGCTAAAAACAAATGGGAAAATGACTATAAGCATCTAATAATGCTAGTAATTGTATTAGAGATGCTAAAGAAAAACGTTAGCTGACGTTACATTGCTATATGATTGCATGCTAATGCTGGAGTACTCTTTAAAACTCCTGATCATGCATCATTCACATGTAAGATGATGTATTAATTTGCAGATAAAATATTATGCACTTAGTCATACTAGCTACCATGGATAAAGATAAGGGGGCCCAAGATATGGTTTTCCAGCCATGATATTTGTAAACACATCAGAAATTTAAAAGAAAGTTAAAGCTTTGGAAAAAACAGATTTTAGGAGAAAGCCAATATACTGTAATTGTAATACCCAGCTGCTAAGTAACAATCTTTTTCTTTCAAAACAGGAAATCACATTCAAGGGTGATAAAAGAAAGATCTTAAGATAGATTGTACCGGACTGCACTGCCAGGGCACTGCAGCATGGTCTTTTTGAGAGCCTTACTCTTCAGTCACTCTGTGTGAAAACTTCTAACAACCTTCACTCTATTTTGTTTTTTCCCACATCTTTGGCTATTTCCTTCCATCTCTGCCTGCTTGTAAAAGTATGCCAAGTACTGTCCTAGGTTCTTCTGCTGAATTATTAGTAACTGAGAGGTAGATGGTAACCTTGCCCTAACCCCACTGCCCATCTGAGGGGTGGAGACCCTGAGACCTACAGCCACCTGCTGAAGCCACTCAGCTGCTGGGCTGAAGTTAGTCCTCGTAGCTTTTTAGGCAGGCTCCAAAGCTGAGGCACACAGATTTATGGGCTCTGTTTGAGATCCACCAAATCCACACAGTCTGCATTTTCTTTCTTCCTTTCTTTCCTTTTTATTGGAAAGTCAAATCCACAGAAAGAAGGGGACAGAGAAAGATTCTCTGTCAGCTGGCCCACTTCTCAAGTGGCCACAATGGCCAGGGCTGAGCCGTTCTGAAGCCAGAAGCCTCCGTTCCGATGCCAGAAGCCTCCTCCGGGTCTCTCATGCGGGTGCATGATCCCATGGATTTGGGCCAAACCCCACTGCCTTCCCAGGTCACAAGCAGGAAGCTGAATGGGAAGTGGGGTAGCTGGGACATGAACCAGCGCTTACATGGGATCCTGGAGTATGCAAAGCAAGGATTTAGCCACTGGGTCACCATGCTGGGTTCAAAGTCTACATTCTCATCAAGCTCTCCTGCTGATTCTTCATTGCACACCAAAATCTAAGAATGACTACCCAGGACTGCCTCTGATGTATCCATTGCCTGATTTGCCCCTCCCCACTCCTGCTGAAATTGTCTCTGACTGAAGAACTTGGGAGACTTGAGGCCATTCGTGGAGAGAGCACAACAGAAGAGAGCTTAGCAGAAACCGCTCCTGGTGCTGCCAGGATCTGGACTTAATCCTGGTCTTGGTCTATCATCCCTCCACCACTGACTCTCCAGGGGTGTACACAGGAAAGGAGAGGAACAACACTCTGTCAAGTCAGGGAGCAGGGAGAAGAGTTTGGGGTTAGAGAAGAAGAAGGGAGTAGAGGGAGTAGAGCCTTGGCTGAGTCCTAAACTTTTCCACACCCTGGAGCTGATCAGGATCTCCCTACCATTAGCTGCTACCTAAGAAATGCTAAGTACATCTACCTCATCATGGTGACCAGGTAATCTGGTGGCCAGACACCTCCAAAGCTGGTAAGATCTGATTTCTCTCATGGCCAGCATTGTGGCATATGGATATGTAGTTAAGCTATCACCTGCAGGGCCGGCATCCCAGATGGGCTCCAATGCAATTCCCAGCTGTTCAGTTTATGAACTAGCCTCCTGCCAATGCACGTGCAAAGTACTGGAGGACCTCCCAAATGCTTGGGTTCCGGTACACATGTGTGGGAGACCCTGAAGAAACACCTGGCTCCTGGCATCTGTCTGACCCAGCCCCAACCATTGCAGACATGTGGGGGAGTAAACCAATAGACAGAATACATTTCTTTTTTTAAGATCTGCTTCTCCCCTACCTCCCCTACCTCCCCTCTTGGATTATTAGCAGAGTATAAGGTAAATGCTACACTGTGACCAACAACAGCTTGGGCTCCACAAGGGAACACAGTCTTGCAGATTGCTTCACAGGGGAGAATATGAAAGGCTATGATTGAGCTACCTGTGTGGTTTGCATCATATCTAAGATATGAGTTAATGGGCTATGAAAAATAGTTTTCTTCATTTATTCTCGATCTTAAAAAATTATCTTTTACTCCCTGGTCTAGTAACAGAACACTCCTTGTAGTTGGGTAAAAACCACTTCTGGGGCCCAGCGCCATGGCCGAGCGGCTACAGTCCTTGCCTTGAACATGCCGGGATCCCATATGGACGCCGGTTCTCATCCCGGCAGCTCCACTTCCCATCCAGCTCCCTGCTTCTGGTCTGGGAAGGCAGTAGAGGATGGCCCAAAGCCTTGGGACCCTGCACTTGTGTGGGAGACGTGGAGGAGGTTCCTGGCTCCTGGTTTCAGATCAGCACAGCACCGGCTGTTGTGGTCACTTGGGGAGTGAATCATCGGATGGAAGATCTTCCTCTCTGTCTCTCCTCTTCTCTCTATATCTGACTTTGTAATAAAAATAAATAAATCTTAAAAAAAAAACCACTTCTAGAGCCCAGTAGCCTAGAGGTTAAAATCTTCACCTGGTACGCACTGGGATCCTATATGGGCACTGGTTCTAATCCCAGCAGCCCCACTTCCCATCCAGCTCCCTGCTTGTGACCTGGGAGAGCCTGGGAGAGCAGCTGAGGATGGCCCAAAGCCTTGGGACCCTGCACCAACATGGAAAACCCAGAAGAGGCTCTGGGCTCCTGGCTTTGGATTGACGCAGCTCCAGCTGTTGCGGCCACTTGAGAGTGAAACAGCAGATAGAAGATCTTCCTCTCTGTCTCTCCTTCTCTCTGTATATCTGACTCTCTTGCCCCAACCAACTTTAAGGTTCATCTGGCTAACATTATCTACCTTCTTGATCACAACAATTGATTCAGGGATGAACATAAGACTCAAACTGTAACAGACTTACTCCCTAAAATTGCATTATTGGTGTGGGAGGAAATGTTCCCTCTTTTTCTGTCGTCTTGACCAGCACCAGATGAAGCTGGAGGTGCTGGTGACCATCTTGCCTTCAATGCCTGAGAATGTAATGAACACACAGGAAGGCAGACAGAGCCATGGGGCAGAATGGTTCAGAACAAGGGCATCATTTAAATGATCCCTAAATAATAGCTCCCCAAGTATTTTTGTTATATTTATCATTTCATTGGAAAGGCAGATATACAGAAGACCTTCCATCCATTGGTTCATCCTCAATAGATGACTTAGCAATAAAAAAAATAAATCTTTTTTTAATTTTTTATTGGAAAATCAGATATATAGAGAAGAGGAGAGACAGAAAGTAATATCTTCCATCCGATGATTCACTCCCAAGCAGCCACAATGACTGAAGCTGTGCCAATCTGAACAAGGAACCAAGAGCCTCTTCCAGGTCTCCCACGCGGATGCAGGGTCCCAAAGCCTTGTGCTGTTCTCTACTGCTTTCCCAAGCCACAGGCAGGGAGCTGGATGGGAAAAGGGGTCGTTGGGATTAGAACCAGCTCCCACAAGGGGTCCTGGCGTTTGCAGGACTTTGGCCTCTAGGCTGCCATGCTGAGCCCAACTCCCCCATCTTTTAAAACAGATTAGTGTCAGGTTTCTTTCATTTACAACCCAGAGCCTCTGCCTACCTTTATTTTCTGCATGTTAAAAATACCATAAGAATGGAATGTACACTTTGTTATGAAATGACAAAAAATTTTACAGACAATTTAACAAGAACATTCATTCCTGAGATAATGATGTGGCAATTCATGAGCTAAGTGATCAGTACGTTTCTCAATTTTAAAGAACGAAAAATTACTTGGAGTAGTGCTTTGAGACACTAACATAATCACAAGTTCAAGTAATTATATTAACTGTACATACCTTTAGGGAGTCCTGTATCTTGAATGGGATATTTGTCTGACTGTAGAAAAATCAACAAAAAGGGAGAGTTATTTTTAAATGCCACAGCCAATTACAAGATCAAAGTGAAAAGAAAGCTCTGCCTTAGGAGACTTCATAAGTCTTGAATTTAAAACGTTGGAAGTATTTAGCCTTGGGCAGATCAACTGGTCTCACTCACTGATTGTTTCTATTCTCAATTGATAGGAATGAAGCAAGGTGGACAAGAAGTTAATGTTGAACATGAACAACAATAAGCCTCCCTAACTTCCTGAGCTCTGACCACTAAACCACATTTCCTCTCTTGGCTGCAATGCTGTTCTTCCATAATTTAAAGATAAGGAACATTTCTTTTCATGAATCATGGAGGTGGCTCATTTCTTCTCAGCATTTCTGGTCACAGGGGCCAATGAGCATGTAGAGGACAGGATTCCAAAGGTAACTGTCCTACTGATTCATAAAGATCTAAAAATCAGGTTAGTAATAACAGATGATTCCTCACTGAGCATAGTATTATTATAGGAAATTCAAAACATCAAAAGTTTTTACAATCTCACATTTGCTAATTTGTTCATACTCATTTGCAGGTATCTGATGTTATGGAAAAATGTTTTAGAGCAAACATTGCAGACAGTCCCTGAAGGCTTCCATGCCAAGAGTGAGACTGAGCTCAGCTTCCCTCTTCCATCCCCAAGCCCAGTGCAGCTCCCACTTTCTATGCAGCCCTATCCCACAGCCTGAACAGTTACTGCTGTCACTCATGTCTTCCTTTGACAGAGGAAGCAAAGACACAGTGGAGGGGCCAGAGCTGTGGCATAGTGGCTAAAGCTGCTACTTGCAGCACTGTCATCCATATGAGCACTGGTTTGAGTCCCAGCTGCTCCACTTCCAATTCAGCTCCCTGCTAATCCACCAGGGAAAAGCAGTGGAGGATGGCTCAAATACTTGGGTCCCTGTGCCAGTGTTGGGAGACCTGGATGATGCTACTGAGTCATGTCTTCAGCCTGGCCCAGTCTGGCTGTTGTGGCCGTTTGCACAGTGAGTGAATCGGCAGATGGAAGATCTCTCTCTCTCTGCCTATTCTTTTCCATATGCCTTCCAAATACATAAACACATCTTTAAAAAGGATGAGAGAAAGGAAGAAAACAAAAGAAAAGAAGGAAGGAAAATCAAAGAAATAAAAGCAAAAATAAAGGTTTTATTTCAACTGCCTTTCCTTGCTGGTTTTTTGAAGCTGGATAGTAAAGGTTGAGAATAGAAAGTTCTAACTTCTCTGCATAATAAATACCTAAATAGAATCAGTCAGTCAATCACAGGGGCTGGTATAAAGTTTCACTGAGCAAAGTGGCCATTTGCAATGTCACCACTCCATATCAGAGTGCCAGTTTGTGTCTCAACTGCTCTGCTTCCAATCCAGCTTCCTGTATATGTGTCTAGATGGAGCTCTGAGTTCCTGGCTCTGGTCTAGACCAACCTTGACCATTGCAGTCATTTCAGGAGTGAGCCAACAAATGAATGATCTCGCTTTCTCTCTCCTGTCAATCTTCCCTTCAAATAAATAAATCTTTCAAAAACAAATTAATCACAAAAGCATAAAAGTCAGTTTTACCCCTAAATAAATTAGTTATTATCTGGACTTTCTAGCGTGTGAAAACACACACACACACACACACACACACACACACACACACACACACATTATAGCTCCTGTGAGTGTTTTTAAAGTGTTTGCCTATTTTCTCAAATAGGCTGTGAGCTCTTTGAGAGAACGATGTATGGTCTTTGCATTCCCATATTTTCAGTATTGTGAAGTAAACATTTACTTAAGTCTGCATGGTTGAACACACAGGCTAGACCAAGTGCAGGTCTCCAAGAGAAACTGATACTTGAAAGAAGCCAAAAGGATGCCTAGGACTTGGGTGAACTCAGACGGCAGACACAACAGCAGGTGGAACACTTCAGACCTATCAGTCTTAACAGAGATGTCTGTTGCAAGTGAACAGATGAAGACTGTTGGATGTGAAATGGCGGAGTCCATCTCCAAGGAGGACCATGAAGTTGAAGCCAAGGGATTTAGGTGGGAAACCATTCTAGGTTCTCAGGAAGCTTGACTCTTCTTAACACATTTATTATTCCCTTCTGTGTGGCCAACTTTGCTTATTGCAAGATGGTCAAAACAAGCTTGCAGGGAGACTGAGAAGCAAGCAATTACAATTGACTGTGATATCAAGTGATTATGTTACAAAGAAGGGAGCACCTGAAGGCCCAAGGCAAAGCAGCCTTCACAAATCAGAGAGCCACATGCAGAAACTGTTTTGAGAACAAACTCTCCCAGGGCATTTTGCATGCCAGGCAGTAGTCTGCCAAGCCCGAAGCCCTCAGAGGCAGCTATTGTTCAGAAGGTAATAGATTCAGATGCTGGAGGTCATTAACTAGAAATCATCAAGCCAGAGGGGGACAGAGGCAAACAAGTGCCCGATGTCTGAGAATGAAAAATCATGGGGATGATACTGTGTTGACAAGGTCCAAGGTTGGCCAAGCCACAATCCAGGCCACACACATACCTGAGAAAATTGGCCACATGTTCTGCTCTCTTCCTCACTCTGGGTGTGCAACAATCCACCCTACTGGGATGGTGATTAGTCAGTAAACAAAAGACCCACAAGTAAATCAAATCAACACTAAGTGTGATTCCCGAGATCAGACGAGATCGGGTTCATTCAGCGTGGTATGGCCGTAGACTAAGTGTGATTCCCTAAATGAATACAAGCTTCCAGGACAGGCTCTGTGATGAATCTACTCTCATGCAGAAAGAATTTCTCTGGCTGCCCCACCTTCCAAAAGCTTCTTCTGCCTTTTCTCATTATGTTTCAACCTCTCTTCAAGACCCAGTTCATGTCATGCTGGCTGCAGCACAGAACACATGTGAACTGGGATCAGGAGATGCAAATGAATTCATTAGGTGAGGAAGTAGGGAAGTATTCCTTTCAGAAGGAAACGGCACTACCCATATCCAAGAAAATGAGAGTATATGGAGCAGTTGAGAAGCAGAAAATAGCCACAAATGACTAGCTCATGAGGAAGTGGAGAGAGAAGCTGATGGAGGACCAGGCCATCTGCCACGTCAAAGAGTTTATTATTAAACTTAAAGCATGGGAATGTTGTGAGCTGAACTCTGTCCTTTCAAGAAAATATATTGCAGGCCTACCCAACAGAATCTAACAATATGACTTATTTGGAAATTGAATTGTGACAGAAGCAACTAGTTAAGGTCATATGGCTGGTGCTGTGGCATAGTAGCCTAAGCCTTCATCTGTGGCACTGGTATCCCATTTGGGCACCAGTTTGCACCCTGGCTGCTCCACTTCTGACCCAGCTCCATACTTCTGGCCTGGGAAAGCACTGGAGGTTGGCCCAACTCCTTGGGATGTTACACCCAAGTGGGACACTCAGAAGAAGCTCCTGGCTCCTGCTTTGGATAGGCTTACCTCTGGCCATTGTGACCAATTGGGGAGTGAACCAGAAGATGGAAGATATTTCTCGCTGTCTCTCCTTCTCTCTCTTTAACTCTTCCTTTCAAATCAAAATAAAATAAATCTTTTTTTTAAAAAAAATGAAACCAGTGTAGTGGCATAGCAAGTTAATTTCCCACTGGCAGTGTTAGTATCCCATATGGACACCTATTGGTGCATTAGCTGCTCCATTATTTTTTTTAATATCTATTCTATTCTATTCTATTCTTTTTATTTATTTTTTATTACATTTTGACAATCTTTACATAGTTAATTAGGGTAAAAAGGTTTAAGGGCTCTATTCTATTCTATTCTATTCTATTCTATTCTATTCTATTCTATTCTAATTTTTGGAAAGTCAGAATTGCAGAAAGAAGGAGAAACAGATCTCCCCTCCACTGGTTCACTCCCCAAATGGCTGCAACAAAACTGAGCTGAACCGATTTGAAGCCAGGAGCCTGGAGCTTCTTCTGGGTCTCCCACATGGGTGCAGGGTCCCAAGGCTTTGGGCCATCCTCTACTGCCTTCCCAGACCAGAAGCAGGGAGCTGGATGGGAAGTGGAGCAGCTGAGATTAAAATGAGTGCCCATACAGGATCCCAGCGGATGCAAGGCAAGGCCCTATTGTGCCAGGCCCTCGCTGCTCCACTTCTGATCCAGCTCTCTACTAATGGCCTGGGAAAGCTGCAGAGGATAGCTCAAGGCCTTGGGTTCCTACACTCATGTAGAGACTCAGAAGAGGCTCCTGGCTCCCAGCTTCAGAAAGGCCCAGCCCTAGCAGTGGCAGCCACTTGGGGAGTGAACCAATAGATGAAAGATCTCTCTCTCTCTCCATCCTCCTCTGTAATTTTGATTTTCAAGTAGAAAGCAATAAATCTTTCCTTTAACAACAAAAAAAGGTCATGCTGGAATTGGGTGAGGCCTTAAGCCAATATGACTAGTGTCCTAAGAGGGGAGACACATACACACACAGAAAGACAGCTGTTTGTCAACAAAGTAAGTGAATGAAGTGATGCACCTGCAAGTCAACACATGTCCAGCATGGCCTGCAGCCACCCGCAGAGGCATGGCAGAATTCTTCTGAATGGGTTTCCAAGGGAATACGGTCCAGGGAAACTTGATTACTGGATTTCCAGGCCCCAGAACTGTAAAAGGCTCTGTCCTTTTTCTCTCCCAGTCTATGGTATTTTGTTATGACAGCTAGCAGATCAATGCTAGGGAGGCTTTGAGACGATCATCCTGTCCCCTGTATGGAGTGACTACAGCTCCCCACAACCTACAGTAAGGAGAACGTCTCTGATGGATGGAGAACCTCCTGTCAGGAAGCCAGGGGGAGACCCTGGAGGCCTGTAGAACCATGGTTGTAGGCAATGGGAAGGCAATGCTCAGGGGAGACTGTCACTTTACAGAAACCAAAGGTTTCCCTAACAGATGACACCTAATCACAGGCTGGTTTTTATAAGAAACAGAAGACTTTTTCCTATTAATTTGTGCTGTGAGTCAAAGCTTAACTGCTTGTGCCACAGACACCTACAAAAATGCAGTGACCTCCAAAAGACAGCAAAACAAACCCCTTGGTCCCTCCAGATGAAAGTCATTCATTGAATTAAGTGCATTTTGTAACACTGTAACTAAAGGAGTTCCTCAGAACCTGTCAAGACACAGCAGCTCCTGTCCTCCAGACACCGGGGAGCCAAGTCCTGTGTCTGACACTCCATGCTTAAGAGCTCTGGCAATGCCATCAGAGGGCACAGATCCAGGCCTCTGCAGGAGGAGGAGGGTGCTGTACAGGAAAACGGGCCTCCAGCCGAGTGACCCTAACACAGTGAGCTCTTTCCTCACGTCTACACATGGAATAAAAAAATACCTGCTCCACTCTCTCATAAGATATTTGGAGGGAGGAAGAAACAATATATGTGATACTTTTGGTAGAAATAAAGCAGCAAACATGTGTGGATTAGCTACAGGATAAGCAGGGTAGGGGTGGGGCTTAGAATCCCAGCTGCTGCAATTAAACCAGCCATCAAAAGTTCATCAACAGTGTATGTCCATCGACACATCAGATATTTTCAGTTCTGAAGAAAGGGTCATGGAAACAGCCACAAGCAGCTGTAAAAGCAGGGAAGTAGACAAAGACTTCACATAATCCAAGAAGAATCATTTCCGGGGCAGTCAAAACAAGAATAGAATTTGACACACTTCTTAGTCAAGTGAACCCCCGGTATATTATCTCAGAGAATACTATGACAGAGAAAGGTATCCTGGGAGTGCTGGAGCTCAGGCACTTACTCAGGAATAAAACAATCATAAAGAAATAACAAAGATGGGAAAAGGAAAGCAAGAGCCATTGGCACAGAATGTCACCTACCGTGTTAAAGGATAAAGTGCTAGGGTCTGTGTCCTCCACTGGCTCCTTTGTCATGTGATCTGTTTTTTAAAAGAAAAAAAACAGTATTTTCTTCAATTAGCATAAATAAGGCCTCTGTTAACTGTCTTCACAAGGATACAAGCATCATTGGATCAGAGAAAAGCTTATATTCAATGAATAGTAGAGAAAAAGAGGAAGGCATGGGTTCAGATCCCATGGAGAAAACTAAACTTTTAAAACCATCAGGTAGGAATGGTACTGTGATACAGCAGGTACAGCCGCTATCTGTGGTGACAGCATCCCAGATGAGTGCTAGGTGAAGTGCCAGCTATGATACTTCTAATACAGCTTCCCGTTGATGTACATAGGAAAGCAGCCAAAGAACGTCAAGGCCAACTATTGGGGCCCCTGCACCCATGTGGGAGACCCAGAACAATTTTCTGGCTCCTGGCTTCAGACCAGCCCAGGTCTAGCCGATGCAGGAATTTGAGGATTGAACCACAGGATGGAAGATCTCGATCTCTCTCTCTCTCTCACTCTGTAACTCCAACATCTTAAAAAAAAAAAAAAAAAAACCAAAACACCACCAGGGAAAGATGTATGGTTATCTTAGAATTGCATCTATGAAATACATGAAGCCTCTTCTATTTACACTAATGAAAAAAATTTTTTGAACATCAACACAACATAAACCCAAAACAAAAACAATGGAGACTGCTACTGCGGTATATCAGGTTAAGCCACTGCCTGCCGTGCTGACATTCCATAAGAACATTGCTTCAAACCCCAACTGTTCCACTTCTGACCCAGCTCCCTGCCGATGCATGTGGGAAAGCAGAAGACGGCCCGAGTGATTGGGACCTTTCACCATGTGGGAAATCCAGATGTAATTCTAGGATCCTTGCTTCAGCCTGGCCCACCATCCTGGTTTTATGACCATCTAAGGAGTGAACCAGAGGACGGAAGGTCTCTTTCTCTCTCTCTCTACCTCTGCTTTTAGAGTAAATGAACAAATATTTAAAAAATAATAATAATAAAAGCCATAACATTTTGGACCAGGTAACTTATAAATAGCCACAAATATTTAGAATTACAATCATTTGTAAATTATTAATGGCTTGTTACATATTGGACTTGGCATAATTTAGGGCAGGAAAAACTGCATTCTGATTTTGGGTTCTTCTTTCCCACTTTTCCGTTCTTACCACTTTAGAGTATTATGTTTCTCAGTATAGTTCTTGCTCATTAACCAAGTCAAAAATGCCTCACAGTATTTTTATCAAATAAAAAGTGATATCTCCTTTTTAATATTTTGCTTCTGACACATTCTCACTTATTGCAAGTAAAGAGCAGAATAAGGAAATACAGAAAAACATACAGATTTCAGTCAGAGTCACCACTAGAATCACATAAATGTATATAAATTAGAAAACAGACACTTAATAAGGTATCAGTCAGAAAGCTGACTAAATAATAATCAAATCAGCCTGAGTGGCATTTTATAGATGCAAGCAGAGTAAAACTCCAGGTGGTAGCCATGGGCCCAGCCAAGATTTAGCATGCACCTACTATGGGCTAACCAAGAGGTCCTACATATGCCGTTGAGGAATCCAAATTTCACAGAGGCAATGATTTATTTGTCTATTCTAGAATTTTGCTGACTGAGAAGATGTCTGGGCATTCCATATTTCTTTGCCTGACATGTGTTAACACTGCCCAAAGGACAAGCTGCATCCCTTTACGTGGAGCAGGGGAGCGACCTCTACAGCTCCAATGAGCAGACTGTGCCCTGGGAACCTAGATAATCTCAGAGTACACGTGGAGCTCTTTTAACCTGTAGATACACACCCAGCTAAGTGTCAATGGGTCTCAAGGGACTTCTCAGGCTTCTATGTTGCAGACAACAATGCCTCCCTAAGGCACTAAAATTTCAATGTTCTTTCTTTTCCCAAGAACCAGCCTACCCTCCAACCCATCCCCCCCTCCGCTGCCCCAGCCACCCTCCCTCAGGTAGCTCTGTGACTCTGGTGGCAGGGCAGGGCTCCAAATCTGATGAAATGGAATCAGGCCAGTTGGATACAGAGTCAGATCAGAATTTAAGGTGATATCAAAATAAACAACAACAAAAAAAAAAAAAAGGAAGAAAGAAAGAAAAGCTAACTCCACCCTGAGTTTGCACAACAGTTTGCACAACTCCTGCTGCCCAAGTAGCAGGTAATTCCGTACAGGGCCCAGCGGGTAATTATGATACAGAGCACATAGCGATAGGAGAGTAGAAGCACAGAACGAGACACATGCAGGAAGCACATGCATTCAGCCTTCAGAGCAACTGATATCAGAGCCAGAAGGACTCAGCAAGGGAAAAGCATTCTAGACAAGGAACATCAATTGATGCATCACAGCTGAATAATCAGACAGGCTGCTTTCTATTCTCTCTTTCTTTTCTATCCTTCTCACATAAGTAGCTTGCCTCAAGTCCCTTTGTTCTTCTCCTTTTACAAAGTGATTGGGACCCACAACCAGCATAAAAATGTCTGGTTTCAAGTCTTGACTCTACTTCCAGTTCCAGCTTCCTGCTAACAAGTACCTTGGGAGACAGTAAGCGATGGCCCAAGTAGTTGGATCCCTGCTACCCAAGTGGGAGACCCAGACTGAGTTCCGGGCTCCTGACTTCCTCCTTGTCCAGGCTGAGCTGGTGTGCAGATTTGGGATGGAATCAACAGTGAGAAGGACAAAAAGGTTGAAGAAACCTGAGGAGAGAGCTGGGAGTCACAAGAAAAGCAGCATGATGAGGCAAACAGACAAGTAAAAGGAAAAAGGGATGGGCACAGGCTGGGGAGGCCTGGGGGCCTCACCTGCATGTGACTGAAAGCTAGAAAACTGATCTCGAACAAACACATGCTGTTACCCTGAACCAGTCCTGTATGTTCCTGGAAGGGTCCAACAACATGACCATACCTGGGTCCAGCAGCATAATCTTGTATCAGTCTTAGATTTCTAAGCTTCAGGATTTTCCTCTGAATTACGAAGGAGCGTGGTATCTCATTCCCACACTTAGATGATCATTATTCTGGTGGGGCCAGGTTTCAGAACCACAAGAGTGGCTGAACTTCTACTCCCTTGGGATTCTGACCGGGCCCTGGGATAAAACTGACCACGTCTCAGAAGGTTACGAGGCAAACAGGAAGGCAGAGGCAGAAGACAGCAAGGATTTTGAAGCACAGTCTTTTGCTTTGGTCCAACTTCCTTGGGAATAAATAGAATTTAAGAAGGGAAGAGGGTCGGTGTTGTGGTACAGTACTGTAAGCTGCAGTCTGTGACAATAGCATTTCATGAGGACACCAGCTTGAATACCAGCTGCCACACTTTCATTCCAGCTTCCTGCTAATGCACCTGGAAAAGTAGCAAAGGGTGGCAGAGTGGCCTCTAGCAACTCACATGGAAGCCCTGGCTGTGCGTGAAGTTCCAAGGTCTTGATTTTGGCCTGGTACACTCTCAGCTGTTTGGGAAGTGACCCAAAGATGGAAGATTTCTGTCTCTTTCTAACGCTGCCTCTCAAATAAATAAATTTTAATAAATCTTTCTGAATTGTGACAATGAGATGAGAGAGCCTGGGAAAGGCACTGTGTTTAGCACTAGTATTTGAGGCATTTTCAGGTCTTTCATTATTTTATTCCAATGCTTCTGGGTCTATGAATGTATTATCACCAAATGTGTTGACAGTGTCAGCCCCAGGGGGTGCCTTGTGTTCTGTGTCTATGTCCTCTCCTGGGCAGCTGTTTTTTTTTTTTTTTTTTTAAGATTTATTTTTTTATTATTTTTTATCGGAAAGGCGGATATACAGAGAGGAGAGACAGAGAGGAAGATCTTCCATCCGATGATTCACTCCCCAAGTGACCGCAACAGCTGATACTATGCCAATCCGAAGCCAGGAGCCTCTTCCGGGTCTCCCACATGGGTGCAGGGTCCCAAAGCTTTGGGCCATCCTTGACTGCTTTCCCAGGCCATAGGCAGGGAGCTGGAAGGGAAGCGGGGCTGCCGGGATAGAACCGGCGCCCATATGGGATCCTGGGCATGCAAGGCGAAGACTGTAACCGCTGCGCCACCGCGCCGGGCCCCTGGGCAGCTCTTTAAGGTCGAAACCAAAGGACTTTTATTCTCACATGCCCAGATTTTTGTGTGCTAAGGAAATTATGCGGAGGAAGGCTGCTCCTGCTTACTTGTGACTGACTGGAAGCACAGTTTGTCTGTCTTAGTGCCCCTGGGCTTCATGTTTACGATGCTGTTAAACACAGATCCAAATAGTTTATTTAGAAGGTTTAAAGGTTTGTTTTCATAAGTCCAAGGTAGTTAGGTAAAGCTCTAATAACAAAAAGATGTGGTTCACAGAGGGGCCTGAAACAGAAAGTGGGGCCTTAGGAATCCCAGAAAAGCACAGCCAGCAGCTCTACCAGGGCCCAGTGGGGGACAATGCTCCTCTCTGCTCTACTCCTGGCTGTTATTCCCCTGTCTCAGGCTCAGCTAATCTCCCTGATTATTAATCTCTCTGATTAATCTCTACTGATTTCCGTGGACCACTGACTCTGAACAAGGCTCAAATCACCCTCAAATTGGCTGGCAAATGACAGATGGAGAGCTTTCTGATGGCCCAAGAATGGTGTTTTATTGCCAGAAACATCTTCTGGAGAGTTACTCAAACAAGCATGGGAAAAACCCAGTGAGCTAAAGCAGTAGGAACCCTGGGCAGGGCAGCTGGCTGGCTCTAAGCGTCCCAGGCAAGAGACAACCGGATGGACTGCATATTTACTTTCTGTGGGCCTCAAGTCCCTGAATAACATTAAAGGGTACAGGAGAGCCTCTCTGTCCTCACCCAGTGTTAAAGGTCCCTAAGCAGTGGCAGCAGAAGCCATGCAGGTAGAGCATCTTCAGGCTGATTGCTGGTTTTTTGTTTTTTGTTTTTTTTTTAGCACTTGGCCTTTAATAAAATGAGAACTCTAACTTCTCCTACTGTCTGTTCTGTACTGGTTCATGCACACAGTCCTGTTAAGCCTTACAAACA